GCTTTGTGCCTCATAGATGTGGTGCTCCCAAGAGCAATGACTGTTAACGAGCCCATCAAACGCGTCCCGGCATCATTTTCAGTTTGCATCTAGGCAATTTCGTGTGAATCGGCTTTGCCGCGTTCTTCTATTAGCTATCCGAGCTGGCGTTTAGATTCAATGGGGCGCTACCGCAGCGAAAATCTTAAATTGTTGCAAATTGTATTTGATTGCTAGGAGCACTTGGTCGGACGTGCCATTTCAGAAGATGCACTCCAGTCAAATTGTGGGAGGAGAGTAAGAAAGCGGAGCCGGCCTGCAGGCAAACACACAATTCTCGAACGCAGTCGTGCCTCTGCATATGGGCACAAGTATCTGCGCATTTCCCCATTATATCGTTCGACACTTTAACGAGTTCAAACACAAATTACTCACAAAGGGATAGCTTGTGACCGGGCCAGAGAATGGATATGCATTGGCAATAAGAATGTTACGCAAAACCATAATTAACAACATTCGTCGAATCGGCGAAATTTGTTTTACGAGCTGCTGGTGCCCTCTTCACCCGACACTGGATTTGATTTATTTACCCATGGGCAATCAGCAAATGGAGGAGGAAAGAGATTCTCAGGCCTTTGAAATGCACGTCTACAAAGTCATCTCAAGCCGGCAGTCGAGACTATGATTTAACCGGGAACACAACATTGGGAAGTGCTTAAAATGATAGGAAATCCTTTTGACAAGTCACATAACTCTAGGTAGTCGTTACTCCGACACATTGCTGATATATGCCCGCGTCTAATGAAGTCGTCAGGTCGTTGTCACCAGACATATGCCATTTGCCCGGCTGAAAACTGCCGTTATACGTGACTTCACTTACGAATTGCACCCAATGAGGATTGCATCCAAGTAACTTTACTCGTTCTACGTCTATACACATGTTGGGGTACTATTGGATACCGAATGCACTGCAGGTCTGGCTGTGTAGCTAGGTGTTAATTGAGTAGAAGGCAAGTGTGTTACCAAAACGAACCAAGAAAGTATAAAATTAAAATGTGTGCGACTAAATTATAAAGAGCAATCATAACAATTATAGTAAGTTTTCCAGTTAAACAAGCACTTAATCAGTCATCGACATACCTCAATACTAAAACAATATTTATTTTATATTCTTATACTCGTTAGCAATTTGATAAGAGAGTATTGGTTTTAAGCAATGTTCGTCTTGCTGCCCGACCTACGAGTGTCCAAATTTGAATATATTTAATAATTTCCTACAGCAACTACGGAGGCTTGGCAAGTCGGAAAAATCTAGATTTATTAATTAATTTTTCTGGTAGCGTGTCTTTGGCTCTAATTGGAATGTTGGCGAATCCTGTTTTTGTCCTGAATATTGATTATTGATTTAATAATTGACTAATTGTCATTGTAGAGACCAGATGGTAAAAGCTAGGAGCTAGAGGTTTTTACCTTTCGTGATAAACGGCTTGGAACATTTGCAAATTCCTTAAATTAGGGCATCATCAAACAGGGGAAATGACGATATTAACCGATTTTGGGCAACGTTAAGATAATAATAATATAAAATTAACTTGTTACGAAATAGCATTATAAATGCGGGCAGACCGACTCATCCGCTCAACGGATACGCATTAGTTGCCCTTTCTGTTAAAAAAAAAAAAAAAAAAAAGAAAGGCTATCTTCGGCACGCCGAAGATCTAATACCCTTGCAGACCCAACCTTTTCATAATGCTTATAGTGCTTTGCCCGTATCTAAGAAGCAGAGGGAAAATAGTTAATGCCGAGTCAAGATATTTTGATAAACAAAAGTATATATATTCTTGATTCGTTAGAGTATATTTGTTGAGTGTATGGTGTTCGGAAATATATATTTAAAATTTTAAGTATCAAGCTAAGATTCACACAGACGGACATGGCTAGCTCGACTGAAGCTGTGTCTTGATATTTATATTTTACATTTGTTACATTTGCACAAAGTTATTAAATTTGTTTTTTTTTAACAATTTTCAAATAATCAACGAAAAATCTTAATTTGGATGTGAGAGATAAAACAATTCAATGTTTACTTAAATATTTTCATTCAACTTGAATGTGTTCTCATTTATACTTATATAACTCTACTTTAAATTTAATTATACCGAATTTACTGTTTTATGATTTTTACCTTATATAATTGGATATAAATATTATGTGTAGGATTATCCTCCAGATTATCTACGGTTTTTCAATACCTAAGAGTTCCTTAGTTGAGTGAGCTCGACTAGGAAGTAACTCTTGCCCTGCAGCAAATATCCAAAGCACAACTGCGATATCCGATCGGCAATACACTGTAAGCAACACGAAAAAGGATCAAATACTTGGGCGTAGCTGAAAAATGTTGTAGATCCTGGGTAAAACGAAAGCGCATTTTTCGCCAATCAACATTTGCCTCGACTCCTCCCACATGCTAGCAAAAACCACTCTGATTCCAACCGTTTGTCTTTTATTGCCGTCTCTTTTATCGCTTGGCAAACGCATTTTCATTGCAATCGCAACCGTAAACACCTTCGCTCCTTGCCTGCCCATATAGATAATAGCAAGGACGCATTTGAACTGCTTTCAGGGCACTGCTTGACTGGCTGCACGCAGCAAGTGGTTAAACATTGGTACTGCATATCGCAGCTAGATGGCGCTGCAGGCACTATCTGGAAATTGCCGAATGTCTGCCCCTTTACCGGTAATTGAAAAGCAAGACGGTCCAGAAAATATACAAAATTGACGTTTTTACTTTTAAATGTTATCCGGGCACTTATTTGGCTCATCCGTAGCTCGGACCATTCTTCGGTCTTCGTTCTCCTGCAGCAAACGTGTTAGCTATCAGCTGCGTGTATTAGAGGGCCCGTGAATTGGAGTGTGCGTGTTTGTCCCCTGACACCACTTGGCCATATTTTACCGCTTTTAAGCAGCGCGTAAATACTCACGCTTACTGCAAGAGTCCATTAAACGGTCGTAAAAACTTTACGATTCTCAATATGAGATTCTCTTAATACGGTTTTTTATGATATTGAAATCTCCTTTTGCAGCCAGCCCATCATCATCGGCTGCGTCTTGAGCAACCAAACAACATCTGAGGCCCACCAGCTTTGGCTGAGTTCGCCTTGCACTTTGCTTGAATTCACTTTCCCAACTGGAGGAAAACTGAAAAAGCATCTTCTGCCACCATGCCGGCCGCCCCTAGCCACAAAACCACCCGTTACATTCACATGAAAAGGGGCGTGTGCGTATTTTAATGTCTTGTCGAGGCATATAAAACAAGCACGTCCCCTCTCTACGCAAATGATGTTTATGTCGGAAACACCGGAGTCGCTTTGCTCCGAGCCCAGACAGAGGGACGATCTCTCAAAAGAAAAGTTGTAAAAACTTTAACAAATTCGGCGCTTGTGACATTACAAAGAAAGTATGTTGTATAGAGATACGTCAATTCATTTTTAACAATCATCTGTCGTCACTCTGATAAAAGTTGCTAACATAGAGTAGGTAGGATACCAGATCTGGAACTAAACAAAATTAAAAAAAAAAAAAAAAAAAAAAACAATCATTTTTATATTTAAAAGAGCTTGTCCTGTTCAACCGACTGATTTATATTTTTGCAAATTTGTATGAATAATCGGTATAACAATGTCGAATATTCCGATGCAACAAGTTATTTTATGTCGAAGATCGGTTGCACTTCAATACTTTCGATCCAAAAGGACATTTTAGTCAAAGATGCAGCTTCGTATCTCATACGGCTTATTCTCTACGTAGCTCACCAATGAGTCAAATTCATTCAATTTGTTATTATTGACAAAGGAAAACGTAATATAATAAAAAATTAAAAACAGGAAGTTAAAAATTAATAGAATAATAACTTATTCATTATAGTTATTATGACTTTAATTTAGTTTTTTTTTTGTTTTTATCAACATTAACTTATGGAAGAAAAATGTTTCTATACCCTTGTAGATATTATTAAATGTTAATATGAAATGTGTAATGCATAAGAAGATGCAACTTTATCAGTCTGTCCCTGTCTGTCTGTCAAGCTATTCTCTCAGTATCAAAGTTATCTTTATAAATCTTTGCATAGGTCCATCATTCCTCAGGCCTCATAGATGTCGGAACTGGGACTAGATCTTAAATCTAACATAGGATTGGTCAAAAATGTGTTATTTTATAAAAACTTTTTAGCTTTTGCAATATCTTGAGAAAACGAGTTTTTTACAGTTAAATTGCGAAACGATTTTTCTGTTGCCTGAAAAAACTGTATTTTAATTAATTTCAATAGATATTATTGAGTGTATCCATGATCGATGGACAATACCGATTCCAACTATCGATTGAGCGACTATCGATAGTTTAACAGATCTATGTGTATCCAGCGAAATATCGAAACAATATCAAAAAACTCTACTGAACGAGTTTTAAATTCTGAGAGCGATGCTTTTAGAGACAGGACTGGATCGTGTGGTTGGACTTCTTATGTATTTTGTCGTGTTTTGGGAAAAACGGCTTTCGTCTCCGGTTTCAGCTTCTGCGAGGAACATATTAAACTTAAATATATTAGCAGCATTTTATCCCATGGTGCTTCCATAGGAACCTTGAGTTGGGTTCTTAACAGAAGAACTTTGAATTTTTTAAATATCTTTGCCAAAGCTTACTATGATATCATAGTCCCCTCTATATTATATAGCTCTTATAAGAACAATCGGAAAAAAATCGCGGCTCAGTACCCAGATAACAATTCTTTAAAACTTTATAGTTGAAGTTCAACTCTGTAACTATTGTGTCCTGCCAACTTGTAGACAGGATATAACTTCCAATCAACATGTTGGATCTTAGTCTTTTGGCATTCTGTCTAATTAGTAGATCTCTTGGGATGGTCCATACTAAAGAAAATAACCAAAATAGTAGAAATAATAAATATATTAAATATATAAATAAATATATTTATTAAAATTAAATAAATGTTCTATTTACAGCTGCACGTCTTTATTTCGACTCTTCAACCTCCTATTTGTGGTAAGTGAGAATGTTAAGTACTCGGCATGCTCATCAGTTTTACGACTGTTCTCTTACGGTTTTAATTAGATTTGTGATTTATATTTTTCATTTGCTTAATTTACAAAACGGTACATCATTAGTGCAATTAAAATGCAATAAATGTGGACGGACGCAGCTCGAACAAGAACGTACTGACGCTTAGCTGGCACTCGTATAATTTTATTGAGTCGTTTTGAGGAATGCACTGAGTCGTCTGCTGTCGCAACTGCATGGCTGAGGCTGACACATAAACCCACATTTCTGACAGGGGCTGGTCCACGTTTACTGCTCAAAGGCGGGAAGTGGAACGAGAGCGGGAACAACAGCAGGAGCGGGAGCCATAGCAGGAGCTATAAAACACGGCTATATGCGACAACGTCGAAGGATTAAAAAATGATTGCGTGACAAGGCATTTTATAATCGTCATCCGAATCACTTTAAAATACATTCATCGTCGCCGCTGACTTGTGCGCGCCATGACTTGATGTTGGATTCAGACCCGGAGCCGGGGTGTGATCCGGATTGGGCTTAGGCGAACCGCAAGGGCCAAACAAGCCATAAACTGCCGCAATAAAAGTGTATCAAATTAAGGAATAAATTTGATGTGCAACAACAGAAGCGTTCTTCTTTTTTACAACTATGACTCGAGTGTTTCAAAGTTGTGCACTCAGCCATTGAGCCGAACTTGTTCGCCAAATCACTCAATCGATTTCGAGTTGTCGCATTCAAGTCTGAGTCGCATTTTACAATTTCTCCATGAAGTGCTAGTCTTCACTCAATGTGAGTTAAGATACTCAGTGGTTCCTTTAGTGGTTGCGTTCTTCTTCGTTTTCACCCTTAACAAGTGGGCCACGCGAAAACTAAAGTTCCGCACTCTTAATGTGAGTAAATGTTCGTGAATGAAAAATATAGATGATTTTGAAACTGCTTTACGAGTAGATGCATACTGTATGTACAGTAGGTAGTATATACCTGGATGAGAATGGCTTCCGAACTTGAAATGCATGTATGGACTAGGGTTACACTGGGGATTAGTTGAATAATGAACATGTAACACGAATAGCTAGCATCTATATGCAATTGAGATCATATCTCAGGTAACAAATATACATATATATACTCATTTAAACTTAAAATTTGCACTGCGTCTTCAGCTAGACTTTTAACTCCTAATTCCTTCTTCGGAAGCTAACTCCTATGGACAACTTAGTTAACCAGAACTTGTAATATTATTATATATATATTTATTTCTTATAAATCTCTTAGCTGCTAAATTTATTTATTTGCAAATTCATTTTCATTGCATGCTTTTTTTATGCTTGTGTGTTTTTTTTAGATGCAACCTGTCGCATGTGGATTTTGAGCTCCTTTGCTTGCGGCGATTTAACAATTTTATGGTTTCTTCCGGTCCTATTCAACGGTTTTAAGCCACGGCACACAACATTGCACCCACTCGCACTCACACTCGCACTCACAGTCGCACTCGCACTCGCGCAGGCACAATCACACACATGCAGGGTTTACGATCCCAGCATCACCTCCTAGGCTGAAGACCAGGCCCGAACGAACGAGGCGGGCGTCGAATAGTGTTTTATTGTGATTTTTTTCATGTTTATTATTATTTGCTGCTCCTCTCACCCAGTTTCAATTTTATTAGTTTATTACGGTTATTATCTTTTAATGACGCGCGCGAGCGCCGTCAGTCGAGGTTCGGACTGTTGTTGTTTTTATATCGCAGTCGATTAGGTGCCCTTATTGTTGCTCTCACGCCCAGTTATTTAGCAATAACGTGTGAAGTTGTTTTAATATTTGTTTTGATTATCAAAATGGCCAGTTTCTATTTTCCGGTCGTTGGGCGACCTCTTCCGCCCCTTCCCAACGCCATTACGTTCCGGTAGCATGCAGGTGCTGTAAATCACAACACGCCGGCAGCGATCTGACTGCACTCAACGTGGCAGTCACTCACAGCAGCAGCTCAACTTGTGACTGACCAATAAAGCAATTAATTTTAAACAGTTGCTGCAGCTGCTGCTGTTGTTGCCGCTAGGGGCTTTGGAACCCCCAGCTGATCCGACATGGCGGCCATAAAAATGTTATTTGCCAGTTCGTTAAGAGTATTGCTTATGGCAAAAGGATTGATCAATTGTCCAGCATTTATCGGCAGCGCAAAGATTTCGAAATTAAATAAACAAGATAAAACGCCTATCGTCAGCACTGCGGAGACCACAAAAACTTACCCAGGCCAATTGTGAATAGGAATTAATCCGACGTTGATCATTCTTGAGACGTCAAACAGAAAGTGCTTCATATTGAACAAAAATCACATTTCGCGCCAAATTGTTTCCATAGAGTTATATAGTTGTCGATCTTGATAAAATTATGATCATATGTTAGCAGCATCGAGTGAGAGACTAGTCTGACTAGTTAGACGGATATAATGTTTCGGCTATTGATACTGGCCAAGGACAAAAGGAACTAAAAGAATCGGAGGCGTCTCCTTTTCTGCGTTACAGGTTTGGCTATTACACAAAAACTTAGGTAGGGTGTTTTACTCTTGCAGAGCATCATTTTCTTATACCCTTACAGACGGTATTATAACTTTCTCGTGAAATGTGTAACGCATAGAAGGTTACATCTCCGACTCCATAAAGTATCTATATTATTGATCAGTATTCACAGCCGAGTCGGTCCGTCTGTATGTTTCCCATACAGCCATCTTAATGAAACTTTGCAGAAGTACTTCTTTCTGTTGCACGCAGTACATAAGTCGGAACCAGCTGGATCGGCCCCTATATCATATATCTGGCATAGGAACGATCGGTCGTAAAGTAGGTTCTTGTATGAAAAACTTGTTTGCTTATGAAGATATCTTGACCAAACTCGGCATTTATTAGTTTTACTATGCTCCCCATATATTTGCAAAATCCTATCAACATCGGACTACTATATCACTTAGCTACAATTGGAACGATCGGCCGAAAAGTAGGTTCTTGTATGGAAAAATTTTTTGTTTTTCAAGATATATCAACCATACTCGGCATTAACTATTTTCCCTGTGTTTCTAAAATACGGGAAAACCACTACAAAAATCAAGAAAATGTTGGAAGGGCAGATGAATAGACGGGCATGTCCATATGGATTCAGATGTTAGGACTAATAAAGAAGGTTTATACTCTATAGGGTCGGCAGTATCTTCTTTAATGACAAGATTATAATAACCTCAACAAGAGTAGCTCTTGTCTTAGAATGGTATACAATATATGTACTACAGGTGTTGTATGGTACAATTGTTCTAAAATTGAAACTAGGTAATAATAGCCGATAATAAGATATCTAATATTTGTAATATACACAAATACAACCTCTTTTTAATGTATGTATCAAGCTTAAAATAATGGTGTCACTTAGAAACTTCAAGAGTTTCCGATCAATGAACCAATTAAAATATACTTTTACAAATACTATACTATACAAATAAACAAATAGTTAAAAAAAACACACAGTTATTAAAAAACAAACAAATATAAATACAGGAAATAAGAAGCACAACAATAATATAATTTAAAATATTTAAATATAAATATACAAAAAACGCTTAAGGGCTAATATATAGGAACACTTTTTTTTTAATATATTTTCTTTGTATTGTACAAGTTAAAATAACAATAAATAACAAATATTTGCTAATTTAATAAATTATTATTTTCACAGTTGCCAATATACGATATTATTCCGGACTCCAAAGTGATCCGATGGGGCCCTTTCTTAAGAGATTATGATATAAGATTAAAATATTATACTACATATCCACAATTTAATTATCCACAAGTTATGACTGTGTAAAAGTGTTAAGAAAATGTAAGTCAGGAACACCAAAATTGAATTTAAATTACATTAAGAGTTTTCATATGTTTGTTATTCTGTTCAAGTATTTGGAATCTCTTCCAGTTGAAATGTTTAAAATAAATATTACGCTTTACGAAAATAGTCTTAAAGTAATCTTTTATACTTGTTGCAGACAGAACTTACAAATGTCGGAGCCGAATTAAATCCCTTGTTTCAACAGGCACACATATTAAAACACTGAACCCACTTTTTGTATGTTCCTAATCAAACTTTTCTTTGTTGCTAGCAAATGACTTAAATCTCATCAGAATATATTATATAGTATAATTGAAAAATATAGTTATAATTGAAAAATTCGATATAAATTTTACTCTTTAGTAGCAAATCCAATTTTATTTAATGTTCGTCACGTATGCCCATCGTCTTCAGAATATCTTGGAACCATCTTTTGCATCTTCTACAATATAATGCTAACATATATGTAAATATACAAGTACAAGCAGTATTGAATATTGAAAGTCGTCCGAATGTCACTTAGCTTTTCCCAATTTGAGCGCCAAGAAATATCCAAAAAATAACATATTTTTTCAACAATTGATGCACTGAAAACATTTAAAGCCAACATTTATTCATATTTGCTGTTTAATCTCTAAGCTTCTATGTGTCCGGAAACTGCTTAGTTTGCGAACAAGAATCATAGTCGATTGGCCATTGTCCCGAGTCCCGACATCCAGCAAGTGGCCAAGTTGGCAAATTGCAAATTCGTTTCATTTCCGCATAAATTTCGAACAAAAAACAAATTCCCATCGAGAAATGTACTCTTGTTGTCCGATCGTAAATTTCAAATTTTTCATAAAAATGTCATAACAGCAATTTCAGCGACAATGGTAGAATACAGAAACAACACGATAACAGCAACTACAACATGAACTGACTTTGGACTCTGTCGGCGTTTTTCATCTCTGAAATTTATGGATTTTTCGTATTTTCGCTTAAGGGTAAGAACAACATACACTCACAAGTTTGAGTTTAATGTAAGCGGGAGAGAGTGGGCAGAGTTGCCAGAGAGAGAGAGAGAGAGAAAGATAGAGAGCCCTTGCGAATTTTTATGCGTACAATAAAAAATAGCAATAAAAATTTGTAGTGACTAAATTTTACACTAATTTTTATTAAAAAACGCAGCGAAGTACATATGTATCTATCTGTGCAGAAACCTCTTGATATTCTGACTCAAAACACTAAAAGTTCCGAATATAATATGACGACCCATAATGTCTCAGATCCGGCAACAAAATTTTCCCGCTTTTTGGCGCGCTTTTGTCACATGTGGTACACACAAGCACACCGCTCACAAGAAACAAGAAATTGTAGGTATAAACAACATGAATAATACAAAATAATTTAAGCAACAATAACATTTTGCCAAACAAAGCATAAAACACTTAAGAAGCCGTTTCACTCGCTCGCTCTCGCGCAGAGCTTAAGCACTTGCACTCAAACCGATAGTTTCGCTCATCAGTTGTTGTTCTTTTGGTTTGTTGTGGCAATTGCTGTGGCTGTGTGTGTGGTTGGGGTGGGCGCTCAGCGCATACGCATTCGCATTCTCACGTTATAAACATCAAAATTAAGCATCCATTGGGCGCGCACTAAAAAACCAGAAATCGTATAGGAAAATGCTACACAAAACGACTCCAAAAACGCACTCAAACTCGCTCTTGCACTCAATTACGCTCAGTTGGCGTTGTCTCCGACTCGAACTGAACGGCCATCATGCCTCAGTTCATGCATACACACACACACACACACACACACACACACACACACACACACACACACGTTCCTGCACACGTATACACGACAAGCAAGAGCAACGGCTGCTGCTGTTGCTGTTGCTGGTGCGCTGGTGCTGCTGCTGTTAACGTTTTATTGCGATACGCTGAGAGCGAGCGAGACAAACATCTATGAGATCCTATTGCTTATTGCCATCGCTGTGCCGTCGGCGTCGACAGAGACACGAGACTATTGACTGCATATTTGCGTGTAAATGCGCGTGCATGTGTGTGTGAGAGACTAAGCGCAGCGCTTGAAATGAATTGCTGCTGACTGGGCGACGGCGACACTGCCTCTGCGTGGCCAAAGCTGCGGCCTCAGCCTCGCATGGCTTTTGTATTGCGCCATAAACGTTTCGCTGCTCGTAACGCCACAACGGCCGACGCGGACACAGCGCCAGCAGCAAAGACCCGCACCCACTTGTACCCGTACCCGGCATCGAGGCGGAGACAGCGATCCAACAGCGCGGGCGTCGCAGAACCCCAGTCAGACGTCGGCAGACAGACAAACTCAAACCCAAACTCTCCACTGTCGCCGCAGTCGCCAAGTGCTGCGCTGTTTGCGTCGCTGCCAGCGCCGGCAGCAAAAATTACCAATTACACGAAATTTTTATACTCTTTTAAAAATTTCGTTTTATTATAATATTTATTATCGTGGCGCGCAGTAGTGTCTGCGGAACAGCGCTCGCAGCTCAACTCAACTCAGCTCGGCTCGACTTGGCCTGACTTCACTTGGCCGATCTCCGATCCGATTCGATTTGTCTCGCCCCGCGTTCGCATTCGCACTCGCAATCGCTCTGTTTATTATTTTGTGGCATTCTTATTGTCGTTAAACTGTTGCCGCTTATTACGGACTTTATAGTGCGGCTTATAGTGACACGAAGCGCGCGTAAAAATCACCGGCAGCAGCCACCAAATTAATCACAAGTATATTTACACACACACACACACACACACACACACACTATCAATCAAAATAGCAATCTATCAAACAGCAAAAAACTTTACACTGCAACTTCAGTTTGCAGTAAGCGGTAATCACTTATTGGCGATCGTTAATCAGTAATCTGTGCGTGAACAAAAACAAATACAGAACTGTCACAACAATGAGTTGCCATAAATATTAAAAGGTCGTAAAGTCGTAAACGCTCAACTCGATCATTTTCACCTACCTTTGAGCCGGGAAAAGTGTTTTATGCCATTTAAAACAAAGCAATTAAAGCCGATCTCCCTGCCACAACTATCCATCGCATATAGCTTGCCACACGCACTCGAAAGGTCGTAAAAAGACGCGTCGGGACTTTCTACCACAACGCCCACGCTCTGAAAACTGTGACGGTGAATCATCGCAAGAAAATCCAAGGCCATAAAATATAACGCCCCAGTTGACCCGATCCCTCGAATCTCCCGAACAAGACAAGTGCCAAGTGCCAAGTGCCAAGTGCCGTCGCAGCCATTAAAAATCGCGCGCCTATAAATCAAGCGACGGCGGACCGCGCCTCGAGTATTTTCCGTGTAATTGATGGCCGCAGTTTAATTACTTTTACAACAAATAAACGTCGCACATAACCACACACAGCCACACACACGCACACATGCACACATGCACACACACTGGCAACACTGGAACAGCTGCAAGTGCAACTGAATACATATGCAAAATTTAACAAATTTCGTTGCGAATTCACTTTGCAACACTTTCAATTGAAACGCGTTGCACAAATTGTTCGCCAAACGCTAAACAGATATTTTCATGCCAGCGACAACCCAAACAAACCGCAATTTTGTTAGACAAAACTCAGCTGAGAGCCGCTAATCGAAAGGTAAAACCCGTCTTTACAATATCTCTTTTCCCGAATACAAAAGTAGTTCGGGATATATGGCATATATTATTCTTGGCACGCTATCCCTGTAACAATATCTTTCTCCCCCCTAATCCCTGGCCACGTTGTTCTTCATTCAATAATACCAGAAACTTACTAACTTTGTCTTAAATCAATGTAGAATCTACTAACCTTTTGGCATTGTGCACGAATATAAATGAATATAAATGGTGGGGTTTTGGCACTTTGAAGCTAAAGTTCAGAATTCCTTGGATGTGA